GTTCAAAGAGGCATAAAAGAACTGCTGAGCTTGGTCTGATCACATCTCCACCAACTTTTACAGCTACTATTTCAGACCGCACGCTGCACACTAGTGCTACTGCTTCCAGTTTCACACACTCTGGACTTAGAAGCACTGATTACATCACTAACACGAATGCTCAGCCAACCACTTACCCCATGGCCACCAACAGGCCCAGCCCTGATTATGACACTGCCTCACGCTCTGACAATCCAAATATGCAGTCTTCTGACTCTGCAGTCTCTGGAACGTCTGCACTTTCTCTTACCTCTGTGCCATCTGTTACACTTCCACCCTGGCTTACGAAGCAATTACATGCCGGGGAAGTGACCTCAGGCTCTGCCCCCTTGGCCCTGACCCCAGGCCAGCTTCGCTTGTCTACACTTGATGCTTCAATTACAGAACACTTTTCAACACGCAGCGGTGCTGTGTCTGGTACCACAGGTGGGAGAGCTAACTGTAAACACTGCATTTTTTTAAACTTTGCTTTGCTTTGCTTCACTTTAACCAGAATTATTATTTTAAAAAAACCCTTGACTATTCATAAATCCTCTGTGCGTGTGTCTGCATGAATCTGCAGGGGTAACAGTGAGACAGGAGGTAATGGACGTTCTGTCTGAGGAGTTGTCCTACTTGGTGTCAGATCTAGTTCCCTTCACTGAGTATACATTCAGGGTCACTGCTTCCACCACTGTAGGAGAGGGCCCTGCTGCAAATATCACAGAGAAGACCAGGGAGCAGGGTGGGTGCTTATGGTACACGTTTAATAATTGTAATAAATATTAACAAGAAAAAATGTTAATAGAGCTGTTAAAGGTGCCCAATTTTAACATCTTGTGCGTCTGTATCTTTCAGTCCCTAGCTCCGTGCTTGAGGTATCCTATCAGAATATCAGCTCTACCTCCATTCTAGTGAGCTGGACCTCACCCATCAATCCCAATGGGCGGATCACACATTACACTGTTTATGGTCTCAAACTGCCCAGTAATCAAGGCCTGAAATGGGTTACTAGCACTACCAGCATATTGATAACAGGTAGCGTCTTCATTCTCTTCAGCTGACATTTTCTTAAGCCGTTAAGTATAACTGCCACTACAATGTAAAGTATCACTTTTCCCTCTTGTTATCTATAGATCTGGACAAGTACACTCCTTATAAGCTTCGTGTAGCTGCATCCACAGTTGTGGGGGAGAGCTCACTTTCTGAGGAAGATGACGTTTTTGTTTTCACTTTAGAGGATGGTACGTGTTGGACTTTTGAATTTATACATTCACAAATACAAGATGCCATCATACATTTCTGTAACTTTTCCCATAAAAATAAAAATCCTTACCTGAATACAATTTGGCCGATATCTCCTTCAAGGTCTTCCTGCAGAGCTGCTACTTTTCAGTCAGTCCCTCGAGGGCCCGTTCCTGACCACTTGGCATAAATTGAAAAAACAAAACAAAACTGCATTTTAAAAAATAAAATGTGCGATGAATGTAGAATAAAAAAAACAACAACAGATTTCTCTTGCTGGTGCTTCTGAACTCTCATTAACTGCTCATTCAGTTTGATGCAGAAGCTCATTTCTGCTCTCACAGCAAGTTTGAGGCAGACGTGTGAATGCAGCCGAACTGGAAGCATTCAGGAGGTGCACAAGGAAATGAGCTTGAATGGAGGGTCGGCCAAATTTAAGTCAAGAATTTATTATTTTTGCTGGTTGCAAAACTTTAGCATCGTGCTGCCTGTATGTGCAAATGTAAAAATCTAAACTTTGTCTGAATTCTGTTTATAATGCTTGGATCAACTATATGTTATCAATGATTAATGAATATCCATTGTTAAGTTTTTTAAATTAATTAATCATGAGCTTTGCATAATAACTATTACTGTATTCTTTATAAATTGCTTGAAAATTTAACTTTTTTATTAACTACCTACTGCAAATACTGACAAGTTCTCTGTTTTTTTTCTTCTCCCTCTTAGAGCCCGACTCCCCTCCTGTAAACCTCACTGTGGTAAACACCACCCCCTCTACTGCCACAATAGCCTGGTCTGCACCAGAGAAAGCTAATGGGGCGATCCAGCAGTATGAGGTCCTGTATGAGAATGAATCCTACTCTGCGCTGGTGAACACGTCTTCTAACAAAGTCACCCTGTTCAGTCTGAAACCATTCTCCTTTTACAATGTGTCTGTGAGCGCGTACACGCGTTATGGAAATGGCAACCAGACATCAGACACTTTATACCTGTTATCTGGAGAAGATGGTGCGTTGAAGGATGTGCCCACCTTCACAGATACATTCATATGAACGGCTTTAGAGTGAATATCAACTGTTTAACCAACACGTTATGATGTTTTATTCCTTCTCCAGTCCCGGGCAGTCCTCCATATGGGCTCTCCTATGAATCAGTTAGTCCCAGTGAGGTGAATGTGACGTGGATGCCTCCTCTGCTGCCTAACGGCGTCATTATTCACTACAGCTTAGAGATTTGGAACTCCAGTCACTACCTGAACCTGACCTCGCGAACCAACTACATCCACATCACGCATCTGAGGAAGTACGCACACTACCGCATCGTAGTTCAAGCACACACAAGAGTCGGAGCGGGAAACTACAGCAGCGAGCCGCTCAACATCACAACACTTGAGGATGGTGAGAGGGGCGTGAGTGACGAGAGGAAAAAATGCGGGTGGTGTGGGGGTTCTTTTCAGTTCCAGGACACTCCACCATTACGTCATCACAGGCTGACAAGTTCGAAGGGCATCTGATTAAATCTGACTTTCCTCTAGTCTTTTTCCTCCTCACGTCTCTGTTTCAGCTCATGCTAATGATGTTACATCACAGATATCCGATGCCACGTGACACTCGTGTTTTCCACCACGACTGGGAAGCACAAACAACAGATTCATTACAACTAATCAGTTTTTTTCTTTTCAGGGAAATGTTCTATTTTTTCTAGTGTCTTCCTGTGTGCCTTTTGAGTCCCTGATTTCCACAACGATAAATATTTTAGAAATTAATTTCCGTTTACTTGTAAGTTCACCACCAATGCATGTTTGTGCTACGTTATTGGAAAGTCTTTCTCGTGCGTCTCAGCTCCAGGCACACCTCCTCAGTTTCTCCATGCCAGGAAGTTGTCAGACTATGAGGTAGAGTTATCATGGCAGCCACCACTCGAGGCCAATTCAGACATACTCTACTACATTGTCAGAGTCTGGTAAGGTTTTGAACTCTACTTCCATGTAATAACCTTAAAAGAAAACACAAATAATTCAGCGTCTATGTGTTAGGAATGAAACGACTGACCTGCGGCAGAATGTGACAAAGACTTCGGTGGTTATTAACGTGGACTCAGAGAGTCGCTACAATGCCTCTGTCTCCAGCTGGACCAGACTGGGGGATGGAGGAGTGCTGATCTACATCAGCTTTACCACAACTGATGCAGGTGCTGGATACATGTTATGCAATCTTTAAACATTATCGTGTTATCCTCACATAAAAAATAACATTTCCTCTTAAGTGATGTTTTATCGCACAACTTGAGTTTTTGTCCTTTTAAACTGTCTCCTTTCAGAGCCATTTGACCCCCCGCAGAATGTGACTGTTGTTAATGCAGACGCCTCCTCTGTTACCTTGATGTGGTATCCACCCACTGAACCCAACGGGATCATTGTACACTACACTATTTACTACTCATTTAACAACACTGTGACTGAGAAGGTGAGACAAAAATACTGAAGACAGATTAATTGAGTCAATAAGTCGGATGAAAGGTGCTGAATGTAGTAATCACTGCAAAGTCCCAGATTCCTTTATAGCATTTTAGTTCCAGCACACACACACACACACTCCCCCCGCAGGACCCTGATAAGGACAGATTGAATGATAAGGAAAGAGAATGTATTTATGGGTTATTTTTTTGGTTGTCTGTCCATCCTTTTGCTCAAGCTCATAAACACATTGTCTCTTAAGTTTAACTTTATCTTTAATAGTTTTTTTTTTCAAAGTGTGGGGCTTACATCTGTAACCATTCATGTCACTGTGATGTTTTGGAGGGATGAACTGAATTTAGTGTTTAAAGGTCGCTGTAACCTCACAAAATATGTTTTTGGGGCCTAACGGGATAAAATAATGAAGTCAAGACATTTTCTTTTCAAAATATAAAGATATATTTTGAAAGATTTCTTCTTTTTCTTGTTCTTTTGGCTTGCCCATTTTGGAGTCGCAGCTGCAGATTAATCTGCTTCCATCTCACCTCATCACTAACAACCGCCTCTGCCACGTCAGCCCTCTGCATGTCCTCTGTCACACATCCACAAAGCTTTTTTATGGTCTTCCTCTTTTCCTCCTGCCTCCTTTGTCCAGTATCCTTCTTCTGCACATGTCCAGACCATCTCAGCCTCAACTGCTCAGCTGTACCTCTGTTGTACTCATTTCTAATCAAGTCTCTTCTCATCACTTCAATTCTACCACCTCCAGCTTCACCTCCTGTCTTTTTGTCAGCACCGCTGTCTCCAAACCAACATCATAGCAGGTCTCACTAGCATGATGTAAACCTTTCCTTTCCCTCTTGCTGTTATCCTTTTGTCACACATCACCCTTGATACTCGTCTTCACTCTACCCTGCATACACACTTTTCTTCACCTTTCTTGCACACTGTCCATTACTTTGAATGGTTGACCTCAGGTATTTAAATCCATCCACCATCACTATTCGTTTCCACCCGTCTCCCTCTCATTCACACATCACACATTATCTGTCTTGCTTCTAGTGACTCCCATTCCACTTCTTTCCAGTCCATAGCTCCACCTCTCCAGGCTCTCTTACACCTTCTCACTGCTCTTGTACTCTCAGATGTTTTAGGACACTATCAGTCACAAAAATTCACCACAAGTTAGGCTACAAAAATGTTTAAGTAATATGTGTTTCATGGTATTTTTTAACAATTACATGAATTTGTCCTAGAATTTGTAAAAAATGTGAACTGAATGATAGCTGTGCTTACAGGACATTCCACTGCCCATGTAAACAGTAGCCAAAAAGTGAAAAAATGCAGGGCAAACTTGCTTCCTGATGCAATGTATTGCACCTGATTTGTAACAGTATATATTTTGCTCTCGCTGAAATGCATTTTTCAGGCTGTGAAATTAAGCCTGACACATCTTTTTCTCCACAGACAGTTCCTGTTTCAGACTTATATTCCCACACCTCTCCTGACTCACGTCTCTCCTACACTCTGACTCGGCTGATTGGGGGCAATAACTACACCTTCTGGATGGCATCCAGCACTGTGCAGGGTGATGGAGGGGTCCATTCCGAGCCCTTAATCCTGTTATTACCAGAGGACGGTCAGTCAGACACACGCACACACAAACGCAGTACAAACGAGGATAAAGTAAATACACATACACATAAAATACTACTCGGGAAGCTGGATAATAATTGCATGCGATGATTAAGAGTCTCACCGGAGGGCAGGTCTGCACTCTTTTTTTCAGAGCTCTTCAACTTGAAAAAAAATTACATAAAAACGCTGTGATTGAAAATAGCTTTCAGTATCCGTGAAAGGAGATAAAAAAAAATGACCACCTGTGACACTGCGCTTTGAAGACAGCCAGTTATGACAGCATGATGAAAAATGTTAGGGATTATAAAAAGGGAGGAACGCAGAAACACTTAAAATTTGTTGGCACAGAGATTCAACTGAGTTTGATGAGCTTTGAGGAAGTTCATATTAATTCACACTACAGTCCTTGAATTTGCATTTATGCATATGCAAATATTTTGTTGCATTTTAGCATTTTAGCCTTTTAAAGCTCTTTGTTTTTATGTGATTTTCAAAAAAAACGGTGCAGACAGCAACTACAGACTTATTCACAAACTGACTGCATTTTGGCACTTTTTGTTTTGTTCAATTTTGCTTGTCGTGTATTCTGTGCCTCTGAATAATCACTGCTCACACTGACTCTGTATCTCTGCCTATGCTCTAGCTGCTCCACTCTCAGCCAGTCGCCGGACCTCCAGGGCACCTTGTCTGTCCCGTACAGCTAAGCCCAGCAGGGGTTTACTCCCCTGGGCTCAGACCCTCACACACATCCGGCCCCTAACATCCACTCATTCATCTTGCAGATCTCTCTGTTTTTTTTCTGTCCTCTGTCTCCCCACCCCTTTTTTCTTTTTACTCTTTCTAGAGGACCTGACACCATAAGCAGGATGAGTATCACTTCATCTCTCTCCCTTTCATTCCTTAATTTTCAGTTTGTAAATTTCTTTTCTAAGAGCCTCTGTATTTCAAAATGAAGTCTTGTTAATCGTGCATTGTTTTGTGTATGTTTACTGTTTGATTTTGCTTTGTTCCTGTTTTCCTGTGCTGCCAAATTAATGTTATGCTGTATTGTTCTTGATGTGCTATTTCTTTGCTAATTACAATCACCCTGAAAGTTGATGATGATGATGATCATTGTGATGACTTCATTTTTAAGTCTCAGGGCATTGATTGATGCCCAATTTGATTCCGCACTCAAACGTAAACTCACAGTAAGGGCATAGAGTTTCAATCACTCGTGCCAGTGGAGATTAATAATAGTAACACTATTCTTCTTGTCTCATTCTTTAGTGCCAGGTGACTCGGTCCAAAACTTGACGGCACAGATCTTCAGCTCCACGGTAATCATAGTGAGCTGGGACCCTCCTCTGGAGCCAAACGGACGCCCCTACTACCTGCTCACCTTACAGGAGGCAGGCATCGTTCCAAACATCTCCAACCAAAGGGCTCCAGCTGTCAACAAGACCATAAAGCACACCACAACTGACAACATCTTCCTGTTCACCAAACTCAGGAAATATTTCCCTTATGTGCTGACTGTTACCCCAGCAACTACTGCTGGCCCTGCCTACAACCATACAAGCACAATGTACCTGAGAACGGATGATGACAGTGAGTTTATTCACAGATATTCACCCATGCAATATGTCTTTATGCATTTGTTGTGGCACTGACATGTGTGCGGGCTTGTTTCCCTTTAGTTCCTAGTTCTGCTCCGTTGTTGGTGTCCACCAAGAACCTGTCTTCGTCTTCCATCGGTGTGGTCTGGCAACGCCCTCTGGAGGCCAATGGGGAGATAACAGAGTATACCCTGATTCTTGTTGGCCTGGAGGGCACCAACACAACACATACCCCCAACACCTCGTTTGTCCTCACTAACCTACTTCCATACACAGCTTACAATCTCACGATTACGGCCGCAACTCGTAAAGGCTCGGGGCCTAGTCTGCTGCTGCAGCTGCACAGCGATGAAAGTGGTTAGTTTGAAAGAAGAGTTTAAATGATTATAGTGGGATGGCAGAAACTTAATATTCTCTTCTCTATCTGCCCAACTTTATGATCCAGGTCCCACCTCTCCTCCCCGTAACCTGACTATATATAACCACACGGCAGTCTCTGTGTGGCTGAGCTGGGAGCCTCCTCTAGAGCCCAACGGAGTGGTGATAAAGTACGGATTTCGGATCCAAGACCTCATCACACAAACCGTCACACATCGGGTACTGTTAATTTCACACACTGAAAGCAGCCTCACAACAACAATAACACACACCTACACATACTCCAAGGACCCACTCAGTAAGAGTACACATGGGCGGGAGCTAATTTCACACTCCAGATGCTACTGAGCAATAACATGATACTTAAACTCACCATCACATATGTGCTGATATAGACATATTATCCACTCCAGCAGTCAGATTTAATATCGTATGTATTTCCTGTTTGTTTGTTTGTCTGGGAACAAATGCAGAATTCCTCTGGTTCATCAACCACAGAGTATCTCTCAGGCTTCAAGCCCCACAGCTCCTATGAAATCAGTGTGAACAGTTTCACCAGAGTGGGCCATGGGAATCAGTTCAGCAGCCCTGTGTCCTTCACAACCAATGAGTCAGGTAAAATATACACTGTATACAAACAAGGGACACATGTAAACACAGATATAGGTTTCCTTTCTCAATTAAAACTTTGGAATGTTTTTTTGGGATGATAAGATTTGTATCAGGATGCCAAGTGGAGTGTGACTGTAGAAGTAGCAAAAAGAAAATGAGGCCATACAGCAAGGCTTTCAGTAGGCCTTGGGGCAATTCTGGCAACCCGTTAGGCGACTCAGGAAGGGGACCCAGCTTCTTGTATACAGTGGAGATGGAGTGCTGCTAACCTTGCCTGAGGATAGTCAGGAAGTAGAAAGAATGCTTTAAGGACCTTCTCAATCTCAGTGACACACTGTAGTGGAAGCAGAGTCTAGTGACTTGCCCATCACTGTGGCTGAGGTCACTGAAGTATTCAAAAACTGTCCAGTGTGGCCACTGGACAGTTTTTGACTACTTCAGCCCCTGGATGGATGTAATTCGTCCTGGATGTTGTAAGGCTGTCTTGGTTGACATTGCCTCTGCAGCATCACATGGATGTTAGACACAGTGCCTCTGGATTGGCAGATCAGAGTGGTGGTCCTTAGTTTCAAAAGGAATACATTCCTCAGTCTCTCACCAAAGGTCTAAGTCAGAGAGCTGAAGAGGAGACTCTGTCCAGTAGCTCATTGCCTTTACAACCAGGACTCCTCTTTCTTACCAATTCTGTTTATAACTTTCATGAAAGGGATGGATAGAAATTCTGGAAATGGCCAAATTGCAAAGGGTTTCCACAATGACAATAAATAAATACTACTACTACTACTACTTTATTGGCCTCCGACTTGCATATCTGCTCTTTGCAGATGATGTGGTTCTTTGGGGCTCATCATGTGGGCCCCTCCAGCATGCTGTAAGATGGTTTGAAGCCAAGTGTGAAGCGGCTCTAATGAGAATCAGCAACTCTATGTCTGAGACCGTGGTAGTTAGCTGGAAAAGGGTGGAGTGCCTAGCGAGTCTGGGACTCCACCCCAAGTGGCGGAGTTTAAGTATCTCAGGGTCCTGTTCACAAGTGAGGAGAGAGTGTATAGTTGATCTACATTCCTACCATTACTTATGGTCATGAGCTCTGGGTAGTGAACAAAAGAATAAAGCCCTGGATTCATCAGATGGCATCTTAAGAACAGCTTTCGGGCTTTTTTTTGGGGCCAAGGACCACTTACGGGGAAGAAAACATTTCCAAGACCCCTGGTTATGGATCTTTGGGGTCTCTAGACCAGAACCTACGTCTAATGAAGTTAATGGGTTAAACTGGAACAAGAATTCTGGCTATTCTACCAAACAGAAACTAAAATAATAAATGAAATGTGATAATTAGACAGGTTTGATTTGTTGTGTCGTGTAGTGTCGCTTTTTATGGACCGAGTATGTTTCTAGATCTTTAATAGTGAAGAAAAAAAGACGCAGTTAGTCAATACAGATATTTGCACGTTAGTAATAATTCAGTGTTCTGTCCAAAAACCTGCAACCTTTTTAAGTTAAATTAAATAATAAACAGTTAATTTTTGTGAGTTCTTTAGTAAGAAAATCAACCGAAAGCTAAGATTTGGGTTAACAACATTACTGTCTCGTGTCTTTCTCTGTCTGCAGTGTCTGACGCTGTAGGGAATCTGTCTTGCTCAGGAGTGAGCTGGGATTCAATTCTTTTGTCTTGGGAAATTCCTGCCAATCCTAATGGGCAGATCATTTTTTATGAGATTCAATTGGAGGTAGACCAGCAATCCTATAAACATGAGGCCCATACACCAGAGCACACAGTGACTGGGCTGTCGCCAGACCAGGAATATGCTCTCTCTGTAGCTGCTGTAAACTCTGCAGGACCAGGAGACAGATTAAACTGTACAGCTTCCACCCTTTCAGAATCAGGTAGTCAAATCTTCTTGTACTGCATTTTGCATAACCACCACAAGTGAATAATTGATTAAACCTTGTTGTCTCCTGACAGTTCCTGCTGCCCCTCGATTCCTCACCATCTCTCAGGTCACACCTAACAATGTGACACTTCAGTGGGCTCCACCACATTCTGTTCCAGGCCTGCTTAAAGAGTATCACATCGTTGCACAGCTGATTTCAGCTAACTGTGAACCAAGCATATCAGTTAAAGCTCAGTCAACCCCGAAGGACGACCTGGCCCTGCATTGCATTGAACATAATGTGACAGTGTCGATAAATGCTTCAGATGCAGAACAGAAACAAAGCTTCACAATCCATCCCGTGGCTAAATACAGACACTACCGCTTCAAAGTTGCTGCTGTGACCAACGCTGGAGTCGGAGACTATACACAGTGGAAATATAAACGCACCATGGCAGGAAGTAGGAATGACATTGACGACGTGACCTTTTTGTGTTGCCAGATAGCCAGAGAGATTTCCCGCTTAGTCAGACCTTCATGACCAATATTTGACAAATAATTACTTATTTGTTTTCAGACATACCAGCAAAATTACACAGCTTGTCTGATGTTTCATTAGCAACTTGAGCAAACACAGGCATGGTCAGTTGTTTTATTCTGAAAGATGTCTTTAGATGTTATATCATTATAGTTTAGCAGTGCGTAATTAAGTAGTAATTACCAAAATACTAAGGCTGTTGTAACATCATTATTACACATGTGTTTGACAAATGAAAGAGAGAAAAGAAATAGAAGCTGAATAAGAAATTATACTGATATTTATTGGACTGACATGTAATGAATCTATATGCCAATCTAAAAGACAACATATGATGACATCTAACAACTGCAAAACTACAGGAAAGGCATTTAAAGTGAGGTGGACCAAATGATCCCTGCTAATCCCAAAGAATGATCAGTTAACACTAATGCAACAAAAGTACCTTTTTATTAATGTAAACATGTTAAGATTTAGCAATTAAAGTATTAAAATTGTTAGTCATGCCAATAATCTATAATACCTAATACATTTGCAATGACATGTCCTGCATTGCTGCAGTAATTTTATTATCTAATATGTTCCGGCCAAATTAAATACTCGACCTCCCCTGCCAAGTACAACTAATGTATGCAGGAAAGTCTTCAGCTCATTAATTCAGTATTTAGAACAAAGAAAAGATTAATTACCTTATCTTGTTTAGTCTTGTTTGATTCATATAACCGGAGCCACTCAGTTTTCAGTGTTTCTCTCATTTCCTTCCTCAGACCCCGATGCTCCTCCCCGTGACCTGAAAGTGACTTCCACCTCCAACAGCTTTCACATTGCGTGGGACGCTCCAGCTGTTCTCTCTGGACTGACTTCTTATCTTGTGCAGGTCATCTTGTTAGACTGTGTTTGTCACAAATATGAGCATGTCACCAATGAACTGTAGAACAAAGTTGGCTATTCTTAGAACAGCTCAACAGGGTATTATGTTGTTCAGGCTTTTTCAAAAAGCAATAGCAATTTAAGTACAAGGCCTATAAAGCAATCCAGTATAACTTAATAACTTTTCTACATAATGTCCTGTAATGCCAGGTGGATGGTCCCGGGGTGAATATCTCAATAGTCAGGGCTCCAGGGGAGTTGATGACCATTGTTGTTACTAACTTGATGGCTTTCAGTCGTTACTCTGTGACTATCACTGCCTTCACTGGTGACTTGGAGCACGCTAGCAGTGATGGGAAAGCCATTGGACCCATTTACTTTCAAACAAAGGAGGAGGGTACGTCTTCACATTGTAGTGTCTGCACCACCTTCTGCCCACCTTTAGAGTTGACCAAATTAATACTGTTGTCTTGTATCTGACCCCAGAACCTAAAGACCCTCCAAAGAATGTGACAGTTTCAGTAATCCCAGAGGAAGTGCGTGCTGTGAAGTTGACCTTTAACCCTCCAGAGGAGCCCAATGGAAACATCACAGAATACATTGTATACATCTATGAGAAGGACCAGCTGGTCAGAAACATTAGCCTTAACATCATCCAAAAAGAGAATAACACGATGGATGCTGTAATAGAAGGGCTAAAGGGAGGACGGACCTACAGTTTACAGGTAAAAAACACACCGCTGTGTGAAGTGAATTCTTTTCTTTTCATTGCAAACTTGAGATTCGGTGTGTAAGTTCTCCATGTAAGAAAAACAATGTCCCCAAAAAATTATAAAACAAATATACAGTATTGTGCAAATGGTTCATCAGATGGCTCAGATTATCCAACATCATGGTTGTAGTGAAGTAAGTATACTTGCGACCAAAAGTGTCTTTTCATTCCCTTGGGTGCAGACTCATGTTGGCATACACCGCAGTTCTTCTAAAAGTTTTCCCTCCGATTCCTGGAAAATTCCCAGTGGAAAAATGTAACAGGCCTCGTAACTCACTGATAATGTACTCCCTGGCTATGAAACTGTGGGCTCTGTCTCTAAATAACTGCAGCTTCATCTCTAAATTGTAGCTGGAACTCTGAGCACTGGTGATAATTCTCGAAATGAAATTTGGATCAGCTTGAGATAGAAGTTGGTTCTTGCTCTGTAAGTTTGAGGTTGTAGGTGAAGTAAAAGCACAATTGGCCAAAACAAGGCTTCCATGGAGCAACTTAAAGCTTTAAGAGCAGTTCAAAGCTGCACAAGGAGACAACTGAAGGGGAAACTTCAGTTATAGAACTTTATGATCTCATCTCCTTTTACACAACACCAGCGCACCTATACTAGCCAAACAACCAAGCCTACCATCAACCAAAAGCTTGGACTTGTTAAACTTTTCAATGCTTTAGTTCCTTTCTGTGCTGGTCTTTCTTACTTTTGTATTCCCTTCTCTCTTGTGCTTGTCTGACTGCAGATTTCAGCAAAGAACGGGGCTGGCAAGAGCCCACTCAGCTCACGTGTCCTGATTACTACAGGGATCAAAGGTACAAGCCTGTCTGTCTTGTCTGTGCTCTGCAATGCTCCAGAGTCTTTCTTTCTTGATGCAGCAGTGCAGCATAGTGTGAGACAGAAAACTACCACTGCACAGTATTATTGCTCGGCATTCAGGGCCGCTCTGATACAGTAAATGTATCTTGGTAGTATTATTAGATGGGTGCTAATTATGCATTTATTCCAGCCTGTTTGTCGTGTTATATATGTAAATGTGGCAGATTAAAAGTACATCTTCTCACACAGACGCAACTTCTACGCACAGACGTGTGCGTGTGTTTCTGGGTGTGCTCATGTGTGTGGTTGTGTGTGTATGTGTGTGTTTCAGCCCCATCCAAGCCAACCCAAAAACCCCAGGCAATGCTGAGCTATGGAGGGGTTGCCATGGTTACCCACAGGAGTATCACCATCCACATGCCTGCATGTTTCTATAGTGACGACAATGGACCAATCACAAAAATTCAGGTCATCGTGGCCGAGTCAGGGGGTATGACTCTTAAAAAACATTGACAGCCATCACTTTTAGTTGGATACACTCGACTCGGGCGTCTGTCTTTGTATGTGTGTGTGTTTTAAATCAGAGTTTACACTATGTTACTTTGTCCCTACCTCAAAGAAAAAAGCAAGTCAAAACTTAAGCAGCTGAAATTTGACTTGGCCTCTTTGCACTTCTTCTCCTCTCTAACTTTTATCTTGCCACAGTGAAGGACAACAAGAACGTGACCAACTGGAAGAGCGCGTACTATGATCATCCCGCCCCTTACTTTACTGACTCAGGGTTCCCCAACCCCCCGTGCAGTGACTCAAGTATGAATGCACATCTCAGAGGTGTGTTTAGAGATGGTTGGTCACAGAGGTACAACCAAACTGCTGCAGAATATGTGATCGGCAAGAGCAATGACTGCACGGGCAACAACACTGAGTATTTCTGCAATGGACCTTTGAAGCCTAACTCTGTCTATGTGTGAGTGCGCCACAGACACAGTCAAATAAAAAAACAAAACAACTTTTTTTTAATGTTTATTTTTGGTAAAAGCTAATGCAAAGTCTTGTGTGTTGTCTTATATTTACCAGGTTTAAGTTCAGAGCCACTAACGTCAACGGGGAATACACAGACTCTGAATACTCGGAGCATATCAAAACAGGTACTGCTGTACTAAGGAAAGGGGTAACCTGTGTGGCAAAGCCCTCTTCTTTTTTTGAATTAATGTTTATCATTCTGTGAATTCTTCTCTGTTAAGGAGTATGGGGAAATTTACTAATGCATCATTTTATTGTAAAATTAATTACCAATGCATGGGTTGCTTTATTGCCATTTCTGTGACCCTCCAGCTCCAGGCGATGGGCTGTTGACCAGAGAAGAGCAGATAATTCTGGGCGTTCTGCTCTCCTTCTTCTTGGCTGTGTTACTCATCATCATCATCTGTGGCTCAGTCAAGTAAAATGGCGATAGACACTCACTCATTTGCATATATTAATAGTCTTAATCGTGGCTAGTTGAGCATTACATCATTTGAAAACAAAACTTCACTCATTTTACACATGTATTTGTATCATTATTTACCTGTTTGATTTATTGACATGTCAGGATCCACCAGCGTAAAAAGGAAGGTGGGACGTATTCGCCCAGAGAGGCAGAGATCATAGAGACTAAGTGTAAGCTGGATCAGCTGATCGCCGTAGCAGATATGGAGCTAAAACAAGAAAAACTCAACCAGTAAGTTTGTGCTAGTTTTAATCTAAAAGCGTCACTTTGACGAATATAACATGCACATTTCAGGCAACTGAATTAGGGTGCGTACTACATGACTTCAGGCTTAATTTAGCTTCTCCAAACACGATCTTAAATCTCAGTCAACAAGACAAAAAATGCCATTGCTGCAGCCAACTTGATGTGCGCTCCTGTCAGCACAAAATCTTCTAGTGTTGTAGAGTTTGTGCAGAAAATAGCAGCAGCACAGAGACACAATGCAGCACTAAAGTGGCTTTATAATTTATCTTCAGTTCTCTGCAGAACAGACAAGTCTTCCTGTCTCCTTTCTCCCACCATCCTCTCAGACAAATTTAGCATCTAGCTTTACTGGGGTTTTTTTTTTCTTTGGCACAAACAAGAGTGCAGACACTAAGTGGTGCAAGCTGCTCTTTCTTTACAAGCTGCAATTTTGAATCTGGTGAGAATCAAACTCAGGTTTAGTTGTTGTTTATGATTTATGAGTGCCACCGATGGTTCCAATATAGCAGTAAACTTAAGGAAAAATAATATGTACGTCAATATAAACACTGGTTTATAATCTGATTCATTAATCAGCAGCTAATAGGTAGAGCAGTTTGTCCACTAAGCAGAAATGTTACTGTATATACTATACTGCCAAATGCTTTGTAATAGTAGATCCTCTATATATATATCTACACTGTTCCAAAAAATAGTAATGTCAAAGTATCTTACTGTATATTTTACAGTTTTGTACTGTCTTTCTAGAATATCATTAAATTTACATAAGTAGACTGTGATTTTACATGTCAAAGGTAAAATAACATAACATCACTGTAAACATAGTAAAACACACTTTACTTGTTTTTTAAATATATTTTTTTGTACATATGCATATTTAGATTGTAAAAATACATTCAGAAATGTATCATAATTTCACAAATATTTGTCTGTCATGTGAGAGAATGATCTGTTAAATTCAAATGTAATACTATGGGAAAATATATAAAATGATCGAAAATTAATGAGAATAATCAATAATTAAAGGAGTATTTGAATTATAATGTTGCTGAAAATTTCATGTCATCTAGGTCTGATTCAATAATTCAGAGGTAACAAGTGAAAATATAATTAATAGGAATAAAAACTAAAAAAAAAACCATATAAAACATTGCACGGCCACGCTGTGCTAATTATATATTTAAAAAAATAAATGTAGAGGTAGGAATTGCAATTAATATGAATCTCAAAGTATTCACAACATTCCTGAACAGAAATAGGCCTCTGCACCTCGGTGAGGGTGGGGCCATGAAAACAATGTGACATGCCATTGGATGTTGGGACACATAATAACATGACGCATCGGCCAATGAGTGTGAACTAACAACCACAAGGTCGCGGGTATGGCTGCACTGTAGGAAAAAATCCTAATATAAAAATTTTTTACTGTGCATTTTACAGTTTTGTTCTTTCACATTTTAAATTTCACATTTCACTGCAATGTAATAAAACATAATTTTCATGATTATTAAATGTATCTGTTTGTACATTTGCATATTTAGATTGTTAAAATACATTCACAAATGTATCATGATCTCACAAATATCTGTCTGTTATTTGAAAGATTGAACTGTTGAATTCAAATTTAATGCTATGGAAAAGTATATAACATGATTCCTATAAGCTTGTGTTACATCACACAAGTATTATTATCATTGCTGTTTAGGGCGATCGTGGCTCAAGAGTTGGCAGTTCGCCTTGTAATCAGAAGGTTGCCAGTTCGAGCCCCGGCTCGGACACTCTCGGTATTGTGTCCGTGGTCAAGACTCTTCGCCTACTGGTGATGGCCAGAGGGGTCGATGGTGCAATATGGCAGCCTCGCCTCTGTCAGTCTGTCCCAGGGCATGCAATCCATTATTATTTAAACCAACTGTTAACCGTATATTTCTGTACATTTACGTATTATGATTCATATTGCCTCATTCAGTGACCTTGTTTATAGGTAATTTCATTATTTCATCACGTTAAAATGTTCCTAATTTAATGTCTAAAAGCACTTGGAAAAGGCAGAATCCCATGTAAAATTAGCGCAACAAACTCTATTTTCATTACTGGAAATAGCCGTATTTTTACGAGGAAGTTATTTTCTGTTATTTTACGGTAGTATTTTGGCGCTCCAGCTGCCGGAATATTACCGTTTTTTTAAGATGTTTTTTTTACAGTGTAGCCATTAACGATGCATAAATAGATTTTGCCATTTAAACAACCTCTAAGTGAACCCCTTCCTTCCACAACATTTAAAGAATACTGTCAGCCACATACTGACAAAACACAACAGAAAGCAAAAATAAAGAGGTCGATGTAGGTGAGTAAATGTGTCTGTCTTCAGGAAAAGTTGACCGTGTACGAGCATTAAAACACAGAACCTAATTACAAGAAGATAAATACAAGTTCTTCCCTGCAGAGGATAATTGCTACTTATCTCTTCTAATTAGGCAATTGATAAAGGATGCAGTTCCTGAGGACAGTTTGTCAACCACTCTTTTTAAGTTTCAAACAAGCAAAAAAATGTGAACCAAAATATCCATACGCAGTTCACATTGCGGTCATTAGGACAGATTCTTTTCCATGCTTTGTTGTAACCAGACTCTCTTCCCAAGTTAGGTGATGAAACGAGGTCTCTATACACGCTACCTCTCTCACAAGAATATCCATCTTCTCTTTTTGGCTGCTCAATGCCTCCATGTCACTCTATCCATAGCATCCTCTCCTCTGTCACTTCCAACCTCTGTATGTCCTCCATCACTACATCCACAAACTTCTTCTTTTTTTCCTCTTGCCTGGCAGCTTAATTTTCAACATTATTTGCAGTTTACAACAATTTATATTTGGCAATATGGTCAGGCAGAGCATTAAAGGGAGGAGATAGACTGGAGATGGGTTGCAAAGGGAGCTGCAGGTGCAGCAGCAACAAGAGACAAGTTCAAGCAACTTAAAATATATTTTCCAGTTAGATGCATAGAAGGGTACCAGCTAAGTCCTTAGCTGATGTGCCCTTGCACTGAGGTCATCTATTTTCAGCTGATCTACATTAAATGAGGACTGTCCTTGACTCTGTGGTATGCCTGCACTAATGCTTTGCTGAGTTTCATATTAAAATAACACACATTCCGTTGTATTTAGCCAGATTTCTTCCGCACAACTTAAGCACCTGCATTGGCTCGCTTAGGCTTTTGTTTTTCTCTCACTGAGCACTTCTCTCCCACCAGGTATTCTTCATTCTTCTTTCGACGGAAAGAGATTTATGTGATCCAGTAAGTTGGGCTTTTAGCATGTGTGTGGCACATTTTGTTGCATATATCTGTTTGTAAGCTGTAGTCTGCTTTGCGTGCATGTGTGTCATCACAGTGTTACTCATTAAGCTTTCATTAAATAATCCATCTGTGCTGCTTAGTAAACCTTCAGTGGAGATCAAAAGTTGAACAAATCAGTGACATCAATGTATTACCTACAAACTGCTCCCTATTCTCCATCAATGTCAGGGAAGCTGGAGAGTTGCTGACAGACCTCTGCTTAAGACCATTTTAATTTGTTTGCCAACTTGTTATCTAAAAATTGCTCGGAAGGCTTAGCACTCTTGTAGGGTACTAATGTGTAAGCTTTATCGATGGCTGAGGATCTGCGTAGCTGCATGTCACAGCGCTGCAACAAGAAGGCTTCCTCGGGGGAATAGCTGCATTCAATTGATGCTACTGATGTTCACATATTCCTTTAGAACAAAACATCAAAGTCTGTGTCGATGTTTAACCAAAGCGATTAAAAAATGGTTAACTGTCCCTGCCTTCAACACATCGCCATATTCTGTCTGAAGCGGGGATCAGTTCAGTTCTGTCGTGGACAGAAAATGCTGTCGTGTGGGCTGTGATTACTGAGTTAATTTGTTTATATTGGTTGATTTTTACTGTCTATTTTTATCCAGGCTGCTCAGCTACAGGAAATCACTCAAGTAAGTCGTCCTGTGTAAATATTTCAAATATGCACACAGTGCAGCATGAAAGAGTCTGCCCTATACTGCTTAGTCTTGCTTGTATCCTTGAATGTGTTTAAAGAAAATCACATATAGGCGTAGAGTTACTGTGCATCCTCTTCTGCTTCTCACATTCAGTGCATTTCTCCCCTGCCCTCACCGACAGGCCTGTCAACAAGAAGTCTTTTCTGCAGCATGTAGAGGATCTGTGTGCCAATGACAATTCCAAGTTCCAGGAGGAGTTTTCTGTA